TAGTCACGGTCAGAAACGGTACTACCGCTGCTCTAAGTGCGAGCACGCAACACCAAGCGACCTAAAATAACAACAACCGCGGAGCAAATAACAAATGACTCAGAACACCATGCGGAGTGCACCCCGCTCACAATGAAGGAGCTGGATGCCAGAGAGGTTGACCTAAAATGTAGACAAGAAGTTCATGCGGGCAACAGTTCATGGTCTGCTTGGTCAAGGATGAGNTAAAGCAAAATTATGTGAAATTATGCCGTATCTCGCTAGAATTCAATATCTCCTAGCTGATGTGGACAGGTTGGGTCTTCACAGCAGAAAAGAAGCTAGGATCATAACTAACGATCGATCATAATTATCGCTGATATTTAGTCTTTTCTTACTGTCACTGTCATTGTTTTCGTTATTATTATTGTGTTGCGATTGATATTACTATTGCTGGTATTACTACCGTTGATATTGTTATGCTTTATACATAATTGTACATAATTTTATTCCACTGCTTTCACATTTTTTGTATTCATCTCTGGATAAACAAACGTTATAATCATATGGCGAAATGCGTACGCACCTTCTTGACAAACGCCTGCATAATCACAAACTAGGACGTATTAATGATTAGAATCGGGTCAAAGCGCAATCCATGTTCAGAGCGTCAGCCCTGGGTCCACGATAATTGCCTCCGTGACAAGCGCCACCCCGACATGTGTCATCGCACAGGTGACCGGTAAATACGTCCGCGACAAGTCTAAACTACGGCAAAAATGATGAGGCACGCGCAAATTGCCCGAGCGGTACCTTGTTGCGACCAAACTGTTGTAGACCCTATGATAGCACGAAAACCCATCACTGAACAGCAAGGTGCCACTTGTCGGGGTGGAGCCAATTACCAGACGTCTTCGGCCTTTTGCCACATCAACACATTAGCCTGTCTACGCCCTGACCTTCCATCAGAGAGAAATGCGCTTAATCAACAACGTGAATAATACAGCACAATTTAGGATGTGTTCGCAAATGAATTTCTGTTTAAAATTTGCAGAATAATTAGGAAAATTACATGAAGCATTGTGCATATAACTCGCAGTCGTGATGGTTCAGAATTATGAATGTCAAAGGCTGTTTTGGTTAATGCCTGCGCGACAACGATGACTATGGTATTTGCCTTGAAGCGTGTGGCCATCACCTGCTTGTTTAACACGATAGCATTCAGTTTGGTCAACAGTTGCCAGGCTTTCTGCTAGTGTTTGTGACAGCGCTTATGAATATTGTGAAAAACGAAAATGAATGTGTAAAACTTAAATGGAATTCAAAACAGACTGATAATCACGAAATGAGACTGGATAATAAATGGTGATACATGACGTATCATAACATATCGGTTAAGAAAGAATGGAAGGCTAAAAAAAAGTCTATAGCTTACTGTGACTTAAGCTCGTTTGTTCTCACATTCCAACTAATGCATTGAAATGAACGCCTTGTTTCTTTTCCAGAAGTACCGATATGCTCCGATTAACTTTGCACATTTGTAGAAACTCGTTATTGAAATATCAAGACTGAATGAAATGAATGCTTATTGGGAAACAGATGGCGCATGGTAAGGGTATAGCGACAAAGAAATGTTCAAGGAGGACATTGACTAAATGATGATAGTTGTTGAAATTAAATCGAAACTAATCGAACAGTTCCTTAGCCTCCCCTGGGGTGTATGATTGCAAATACTCAGTGCCGTCACTGAAGCAGTGGATGTTCGCATCAAACAATACTGCAGCAACCTCAGGTCAATGCCTGAGTCCCACCGCAACTGATCGGCCGCACCTTCTAGCGACATGCTTTTTCTTTGCAATCAGACAATCGTTCCTATCATTATCTAAAAATATCGCTGAAACAACCCAGCAGCTACTCATCCTTTGACATATAAAAGTTTGTGAAATTAGAAGAATTACGTGACACTTGCTCTTTTGAGCATAAATTTTTTTCACGGATGAAGATTCCAAATCTCTATGAAACATTCTTATAGCGTCAACACTCGCTTCATCACGCAGTAATCGACACTTTTTTACTCCTCTGACCTAAGCGAGCGATTAAGTGCGCACGCACGTGCGCTTCTAATCGAAGCACACTAGTCTTATAAAGAGAGAGCCCAATAATCTGCTGTGAAGTTTGCGTCGCTTGCATTGTTTGATGACATTGCTTATTGCGGTGGCACCACTTCTTGAAACGCTCCTCGTAAATTGCAAACCGAAAACGAATTCTAATACGAATTTTAATTCCATTTGAAACTGTCTCACTTAGTTTTGCTTTCCATGGCTCAAAAATCTAAAGATGTTCGGCGACGCTAAAGTATCGACCAATCTCTATCATAATGTCATGCTCTGTTGGGTAGTCAGTGACGCAGAGGTTTGAGTGAATAGTCGGTGGCAAAAGCGGTAATCATTTGCCCAGAAAAGTCTTTTATAGTTGTGGGCCACTGATCGATGGGAGTGGATTACATGGCGACTATATTTATATGGTGTTTTCATGGGTTTTATTGTAATGAGGCGTTTATTTGAATTTTATTTTCAAGCGTGAAGGAGAAGAACGACTTGCATCAATGACATTCTATGGTGGTCCAGAAGGAAGTAGTGTTTACGTGGCTGGCAGAGATGATAGTGTTGATGAAATTATGCATGAGTGGGAACATAAGTAAGTTCTGTTTTTATTTTGTCGTTGATTCCATATTTGATCCGCTTGAATTTATGAGTGACAGTACGTTGGCTTTATCGTGGTCATCCTATGTTAATTGTGCAGTCCACGTTGCCATATCGTTCACAACTTCCATGAGCCAAAAACTATGCGCAGTTTTAACATAGCATGCCTTCAGGTTTGACGCCATGCATCATTCACTCATAAGGTCAATAGATTGTAGTTCATTGGATGCTTAAGACAGTTACTGATACAGTTTAGATTTTTTATGACTGTATTTTTTATGACTGTATTCAATTTTTTATGACTGTATTGTCAACTCAATCGGTCAGTGGATTGAAAGTATATGAATAGTTTGATGGAAAGGTTAGTTGGTGGTCTAGGATGTCAGTGGCTATTCACTGTATGACTGTAGATGTAGCTTTTTATCACACTTTCAAGCAGTGATTTAATGCATCAAGCTTAGTTAAGACCGTTAACAAGCTTCTAAGTTGAGCAAAACTCACACGAACGTAACACGGCAACACGCTGCATTATCGAACGCTGAATGATCAAGATTTTATCATTCAGAACTGCACAGTTATCATGATGATTTGCTTTTCGGAATGTTTGTAGCATTTTTCATCGTCAATCTAGGTATCATGCCTAAATCATTTAACTGAAAACACTTCCGTAGTAGTTTCCGATTGCTTAATGGAGGCTTAGGATGGTCATAGTTAAAACTTTATGCATCAATGAAAGGAGCATCAGTCTTTCACTTAATAAGATTTAATTGGTATCGAACATTTGTGCTTAGATTCGACGACTAACGATAAAACAGTTTCGACAGTTCACTATTAAGTCATATAATTTGTGACATGGTATAAAGTTTAAGAATAGCGATGTCAGACTTGGTGTGATATTTTCTCAGGTTCTGCACTTATTCCGAAACATCGATTTTCATCACAACGTTTAACGTGAATGGTAAAATGGCACCACACTATGTGCCAAAATGGCTTTATCACGATGGAGGACCACCAGATTTTTATGTTGTTGGGTATATTCATGTGTCATTTTTGAATGTTTCGGTTTTGCATCGCTCATTTATTCGAAGAATAACATTCATCATTTAGAAAGTTGTATGAAACGCATTACTTTTATAGCGAGGACATACAGAATCATCTGTGTTAGTCAGAAATCTTTCTCAGAGAGAAACTTTTCAAAATCGTTTCTTTATGATTTATATAAATGAAAAGCGTCATGAATTATCATTTGAATGTCAAATGGAAATAAAGTGATTGCTTATATGATAAATCACTCATCTAATTGAATAAATCCGTGAAGATTGCAAGAAATGGATCTGAGCACTCAAGCGTTCTTCTATGATGTTTCGTCACGTCAAGATGATTGGTTAAACGCAATCACTCGTTCACTCCCTTCTCACCAATATCGTCTGGTTTCTTTTTATTTTTTACAATTGTGTTCCGATTCAGACCTTTTTCTCCCAGTAATAGTATCCTCACAGTTTCATTATTATTATTATTATTAAATTTTTTATGTCGTTTTTGTAATTATTTTCATTATTATTGTAATGTTCTCATTTCAGGTTGAATGCGTTCGTCTCGTTGGAATAATGTTGGTGATATTCCAGCGTGAAGGTAGTCGTGTGAAAGTTCGTCAGTCATCCGTGCATAGTGCGCGTATAGCAACTGGTATACAACTGATAAGTCGTATGGGAAACAAGGTACTTGCTCCATTGTTTGAAATAGTTTTTAATGCAATGCTAATGAAAATTTTAAAAATGAAATTTCAATAGAATACGGAATTCAGTGCTTACTTTTCTGTTCTTTGATTCACAACCAGCCGTTGGTTTTGTGTTTACAAATGTAGTTTGTAGTGAACTATTGTTCATTGACTATATTTATTTACAGGGCGGTGTTGCTATAAGTATGCAAATAAACGATTCACGAATATGTTTCATTAATGCACATATGGCTGCTGGAAATGAAGAGTTGGATAAGCGCAATCAGGATTACAGGTTCGAATCAACACTAATTGCATTATACCCTGTTGATTGCATTGGGCTGAATATCAAACACTTACTTGCCATCACATTTGATAATTTCTTGAAATATAACTGTTCATAACATTCAGTTGACTGATTGCAATGCCATCAAAGTAGTTTTTTGCATATCTTCAACAAATTATTGTATTTTTAAAAGTGTTGTCCATCTTAAAAAGGAAGGCTGACAACTTGATAATTTAGAGAAATATCTCAATTGCGTTTTGAGACGATCAATAAATCTCTATTCGATCACGATGTGATATTTTGGTTGGGAGATTTGAATTACCGATTGGAAACACACAATGGTTTTACGAATGATGATGTTCGAAAGTTGTGTTCTTCAGCAAAAACATTTAGAGACATGATCGCTTTTGATACGGTTCGATTTTTCATTCTGAAATTGTTGATTCTTTATACTTCGCAGATATGATGGCGTTGCTGTTTGTAGGAGTATTGGAGTTTCAGTTTATACAGTACTTGCCTTCAGAACGCTCTTCCTCTGCCAACTCGTTTCCCCACTTTTGTTAAAGGCTCCTTTCATCCCCCAGTTACTTTGCCACCCGACAGTGTTTTCTCCGACCAAAAAATTGCTCGCTGAAACGCTAATCACAAGAGTGAACGAATATTCATGCTTGTTGAATACGACTGTAATGTAAGGTAACGGGTCCATGATAACGGGTGCTTCTGAGACGTTCGAATTATTGAGTGGTCTACATGTTTGTCAAGTAGTATAAGGAAACAAGGCCGCGATGCAGAAATGAGTCGTTTTCAGTTGAAGCAACAGCAGCGAAATAATCAAATTTTTGTTGGATTCTGTGAGCCAGATGTTTTGAATTTCCGTCCATCTTATAAATACGATCCAGGTACTTCAGATTGGGATAGTAGGTGAGTGATTGAGGACAATCAATTCAACTCGTTTTTCTTTTTGATTACTCAATTCTCCATTCATTTGTTGAACAGTTTGAATTGATGTGAAGCAATGGTTAATTCGTTCACATCGTTGAAGGTGATGTTGCCGTCTGACAAGCAAAGTTGAGACATGATCAGTAATTGAAAAATTGCAGTGAAAAATCAAGGTGTCCTGCGTGGTGTGATCGTATTCTATGGTGGTGTGAATCAAGCGATCAAGTCGTGCAAACACTCTATGATAGTGTTGATGAAGTGACCATTTCGGATCACAAACCTGTCAGAGCTGTCTTTCAATTGACCGTTCGCGAGGTTGATTCGTATAAAGTGAAACTGATTCATGAAGAGGCCATTCGTGAAGCAGATAAACGCGCTAATGAAGCATTACCACAGATATGGCTCTCAGATAGTGAAGTTCGTTGCTTTTAATCAACAAATTGCAAACACTTCATTATTGTTGAATGAATGAAGTCTGTAGCGTAGCCCATGTTACTTGAAAAATGATCGCTTTTATAGCGAATAGAAAAATTAGCATACTTTTTTCATGTGGTTATACGATAAGTGATATACACAACTAGTGGTCGTGATCAGATGGCAATTGTTCACGGGTATGGTGCGTGTGTAGTACTTTTGATGTGAGACTGGAGACGTTTCAGATAGATTTTGGTGATGTGTACTTCTTCGAGAGCAGTGTGCGTACGATAACGATCAAAAATACGGGTAAAACAAAGGTGTCTTTCTCATTCGTAAAGTTACCGAATCGCGAATCAATCAGCGATTCGTGGTTATCCGTTACACCACCGAATGCACATTTGAAAGTGGGAGCAGTATGCCTACTTAGTTTACAGGTAGGTACCCGTTATGATTGCACGACCATCATCACCTGACACTGCTACATATANTTTGCTCTACTTCCACTTATTTTTGATGAGAATTATTTTTTCAAATATGGAACTTAGCTTCTTTATTTGTTCTCATAATTATTCCCATCCTTTTCTGTCATGATTGAATTCACAGTCTCCTCTTTGCTACGGTAAACACAAAATGTTTCCTATTTCAGAGATCTTACTATTTTTATGTTTCATTGGCATTGTTTGGTGAGCAATCTCTCAATGAGTAATGTTATTTTGAATTCAGCTAACATGCTGCTCAATTTTTTATCATCTAATTTCCAAGTTTCATTGTTCATCAAAATATTTTCTTTTTATTGATTGATGAGAATATATTGTTTAATTTCACAAGTGCAAGTAAGGTAATCAGTGAAAGGTAATCCTTGGTAGGAGTACTGTTTTGAAAATTATTCATTTTTCGGAGTATTTGACGATTCCATGTAAAATTTCTTTTAGGTACTTGTGGATAAAAAGACAGCTTGGTCGGTAGCGAAGAATGGCGTATTATCAGATATATTAGTATTACGACTAGATCACGGTCGTGATTATTTCTTACCGATCAGTGCTCGTTATCAACATTCTGTTTTTGGTTCTTCTTTTATTGAACTTATTCACAAAGAACATAACACCACTGATAATGCGAGCAATCTACTGGATTTAGTTGGTTTTATTTTTTAATCATCAAGCTGCTCTATCATGTAGTGACTATCCTGTTCGGTTTAGAGAAAGTTTACAGGGGCTTGATGAATCGTTGCTAAAAACAGTCTCCAGAGTGTTCGTGCCTGTACCCATAGCAATGTATCGTCTAATCGAGACTTTACGAAATTATGGTGTCGAGAAGATTCGCTTCGATGATGTTTCTAGTCATTCGGAGTTTATCGCTCTTCGGAATGCGCTTGATCGACATCATAACATCGAGAACTTATGTAATCATGTTTCAAATTCATTTTAAATTAAAATTTTTGAGTCAACTTTTATAGATATTAAAGATGAATGCTATTCAATAATTAATGTCATAGGAGATCACTTTGTCTTCATATTGATATCGGTGAACTTCTGCAATGCACAGTGTCGAGCCAGATTTTTTTGCAGTATTCATTTCCAGTAATATAAAAACATGATAGTGTTCAGTAACAGGATATTGTTCAGAATATCGGAAAGTAATAGTTATTTTTAAAAAAAATTATTACATCCATTTCTAATTTGTGCTTACAATCAGTTTGTTTCAGATTTTTCAAAGTTATATTTTGTTTTCAGTTGATATATGCAAATCACCATTCAATATGTTCAATGCATTCCTGCGACTAATGGACTCATTTAAAGGTTTATTTCAATCCATCTTATATTATTTTCCTTTCAGCTATATCACATCTGACTGCACTATATTTTAATTTCTTTCAGTATACTATAGTAAAACTTGAATACTGTTCAGTGCCAGATAATTGCATTAAAATTCGCTGAACTTCAACGAAAATGATTTCGTATAAAGTTTAGAAGAAGTGATCCCACGTGAACTGCAAACTGAATGCTTGAATTCGGCCGGTGATGCGACTCGTTGTTGGTCATGTGTGCAAAAATTCAGACGTGAAAATCGTGAAGTTTTCGAATATTATGTGCAATTCACACGCGAATTAACTGAAAAGAATACAGATGCTAGATGTGAGTAATGGTTAACGTTTACATGTGTTCATCGCATCCAATCAATACTTCACTGAGCATCCAGTTCACGAAAAGTTGAATAAATTCATTCATTTGTATCCCAAATAAAATCGTTCACAGTTGCTTTGCAAATGAACCGAAACATGTTCCTTTAGTATATAATATAAACTTAAATCAGTTTTATTGAGTTTCAAAATTTTCGAAGTATAATCTCCTATACTTTCATTAATACTGCCGCTAACCTAAATCAAATTTGATTTTTCCATGAACTGATGTGAGTGTAAAATGAAAACTACGAATAAATAGATCGAATTATAACTAGAATTGTTTTAATATGTCTTTTGCAAACACTCTCTTGTTGAAAAAAGAATTGTATTCATAAATTTGTTCATCATAAACTGAAGCTCAAGTGGTTGGGAGAGAGGGTAAGAGAGCACCGTATGTTTTTGTTATTCTGAGAATCATCTCAAGCGTTTTCCCCTCGTAATATACATATTGGAAACGCCTGTCTTCATAGATGTTATTATTTGGAAGTTTCAGTGAGTGAATGTTACATTTCAGCACAGTTACAAGTAATGGCTGATATTGTTTTCAAACCGAGTGGTGTTGAGAACAACAAACTAGAGCAATCGTTGCGGTTACGGTTCTTCGAGACGGTCGTTGCATTTACGAAAGACGTTTGTATGGAAGGATTTGATGAATTAATTAAACTCTGATGTTTTTCGTATCAATTCGGTCACTCATTCAACACTCCTAGATTTCGTTATGTTGACAAGCCAAAATGCCACTTATTGTTTTTATTGCGTCATATGTCGACAATTTTTTCTCAAGATGTGCCACAGTACAGTTTCAACTGACTTATATTTGTTTGTATATGTGTAAATATGCAGTCGTTTTATAATTGCGCAATGCTCGCCTGAAAATCGTAACAATCTTTCCATTTAATCGTCAGTCATTTTAGTTGTATTCTGTTCTCGATAGGTGCCAAGAAATTGTTGTTTGTAAAAGTTAAATGGGAGAACGGAGAATGATTTATATTCATTTACTTGTTTGAATGATGCGATTCGGAATAATCATTTATATGGTGAGGATGAATACTCATCATTGTGACAAGTTTTTTTTTTTTAAGCCAGTTACTGAATTTGCTCTATTTCATGAAGAATCGCAGCAGGATACTCTAATCATGATTATTCTCAGGTGAATATATTCAGAGTTGTAGCACATCCTTTTCTGGTTTATTTCCATTGACTTCTGGTTTCAAAACGTAATGAAACGAAATTATTCAAGTCAAAAGTGTTCACTCTCCACAACTTTTGTGGTTGCAGTGAAGAACGGTCAAAACGTGTGGAATTGATAGAGTACTAGCTGCGTTCCGGATATTTGCTATGGATTATGCATGCTAACGTAAAGTTTGCAATTCTTATAAACCCGGTGTATTATAATTGTAGTGCTACTGATCTGGAAGGCTTTTATGGCATCAATGATAAACAAAATTGTTGATGGAGTTTTCTGTAGCGCAATAAATCATTTGAAAACAACTTCAACAAGTTATTGTGTTAACGTTTATGCTTTCACTTATTAAACGTAGCCGTCCGTTTTAAAAACGTCAAATTAAATATAACAAGCTGGATTGGATGGATGCTCAATGGGTCGCTGCCCAGAAACGTTTTTCTTCAAGCGTAACAGTGAAACGAACAGTATAAGACTTGCATTCTTGAGGAAAACGACTGACACCCAAGGCGTCATACATTTATAGGCCATCGTAGTGCTTTTAGTCATTTCAAATCAACATATTTGTCTCACAACTTTCTGCACGCTGATGACCACCGTGAACAATGGAACCATTTGGAAATATTTATGACCCGTAAAGATACTGCAGCATTTTGGGGTTGTGCCACCATGATTTCAGTGTTAGTTCATGGATTGTCCTTGCAAACACATCTGAATGCCACACATACAGACATAGTAGTTGGCAATCAAGTACTGCCGTTTATTGCGTATTAACTTAGTGCTGCTGTTTCATTTTGTGCTATTTTTGATCGGTTTTTGTCGTAATAAGATCGTTTGGGCTATTTTTTGGTTTTTCAATGGAAATTGCGGTGTGTCTGCATCCCATATGAAAGTAACCCATTGTGGAATGATGGATTGGTAATCGATTGTGTGCTGACAACTTATTTTTAGCAATTTTTTTATAATCAAGAATTGTTTTTTAAGTGGGAGACCAAGAAGTTTCCTGTCAGCACTTCTGATTTAAGGTTGTTGTTTCATAGAAATATGAGACATAGTCCTTTAAAATGCTTAATCCATTTTCGGGTAATTCGAGAGGATGCACATGATTAGTGCTAACAAAAACGTGAGCTGTTTAATGAAGCAGTTTTCAGGGTACTTTTGCTGATAACGGGTGCCACCTCGCCATCACAGATGCTCATACACCTCACACATAAGTCGAAGCCTATGTGTTAGCCTCATCACTGGGCTAAGCGTAAGTCTAAGCTTAAGCATACTCCTGATTTGACTTCGAATTGCATATCTACACACGGGCAAATGGTAATCTAAGCATATGCGCGCAGTGGCACCAGTTATCAGCAAAAGTGCCGTTTTCAGCTTATAAGCTTCAGTGATGATGTATTTGTACCAGTTTTTAGAGTCGAATGATAATCATATTTTCAGATGTGAAAAGATCATTAACATATGTTGTTTCGTCAGTTGGTAGACCACTCGAAACTGAGTAGTGTACCAATGTGATTGATGTTGCCGAGCCTGAACTGGGCTATGAGTTGGCTTGTGTTGAATTATCTGTTTATGTTGTTTCAGTTTCAGCTTACTGCGTTAATCATCATTACATGGCTAAGACGTACGACTATTTGTTTAAGGTTTGTAATAACTTTTCATTTTCAATTTGATTTCTTTTCCAAGTAAATTTTATTGAGACATTCTTTTTAGTTTTCTTTATAAATCATGATTTTTTATCGTGTCTTCGAATTGTCAGTAAAGTGGAACCAAACTATAGTCGGGAAATTCATTAGCCGAAGTCAATGAAATACAAGCGTGTTTCTCATTCCCAAGCATAACTTATTCCCTCGTTCAACATTTTGGCCAGGAAATACATATAGTGCGTGAATGAGGGTTGTGTAATTCAGTACTAACTTCGTGATCTCCCATTTGTAAATATGTAATTTCCTTAAGCTGCCTACGATTACTGTTAGTAAAATTGTGAACGAGTATTATTGAATAGGTAAATAGTAATTGATTGGTCGAGGACCTGCAGAAGAATGTGTCAGATTCAATAAAGAATCTCGTTGGATGCTAATTGCTAATTAATCTTCAAAATTTATCAAATGATAAATTTCTTCAACACTACAATTCACAGTTGTTTCAGCCGGTTCATGTATAACTTCCATATATCAAATTTCGAATTTCATGCGAATTTCATTTATAGCTTTTGCTGATTGGTGACTCGGGCGTTGGTAAGACGTGTGTGCTATTTCGGTTTTCTGATGATTCATTCAATAATTCATTCATTTCTACGATAGGTGAGCCAGCAATTGATGTGAAATTGACGTTGTTCTAAGGAAATGCCCTGACACTTTGTTTCACTAAATTTCTGAATGCTCTCCGCACAACAGAGCATTTTGCGTTTTGTCCATTCTCTATTCGTTGCCCGCGAAGAAATTGTTATGAAGGTTATCGAAGTGGTCATTTAAGCGAACATGTGGACAGTCGTTTCCAAGCTTTGCAAGTCAAGAAAACAATTGTCATTTTTGAACTATTCCCAGTTTTGTGTATGTATTGAAGTATTGATGGTTCTTAAAATATTTGGCCACATGATATTTAACTCCCTCCTTTGTTCTTGCTGATGTTTCTTAGTTTATTAGTTTAGAGTTCAAATAATCAATAATCGATTGAAATTTGCTGTTTTTGAATTTTCATTCCTTTAACCCCCTTCCACCCCTTCCCAGCACATCATTAGTTCCTCTTATGAATCCAATGTTGTCTTTTCAAAACGTGAGATGACTCATTGCTTTGAGGTATCGACTTCAAAATACGCACGATTGAGGTGGACGGTAAAAAAATTAAACTACAAATATGGTAATATTTTGTTTAACTATTTGAAATGTTATGATATTTGATTATTCGTGTTTCAGTAACGTTCAAGAATTGTGTTTTTGTTGCAAATAAATTGGGTTATTATCTATAGATATGGATCACTTTATTGCATTGTTGATAATATTGATTAAACATTTTATCGGCCCTGGTTTCGTGAATAGGCATTTTTGTTTATTTTTTCATATTGATTAGCTTCAAGATTCTGTGTTTAAAAATTTAACCTGATAATAAATCTTTTTCATCATCCAGAAATATGAATTGCAATATTGTCTCTGGATAAAACTCTGTTGATCTTTCACCTTCCAGGGATACAGCTGGACAGGAACGTTTCAGAACAATAACAACTGCATATTACAGAGGAGCGATGGTTGGTTTGTTTTTCTTCTATTGAGCCAATGAATCAGTTTTTTCGAAAAAAAAAAACTTTAAATGAATGCGTTTCAAATAATAAATTTGATTTAATCGTCTGTTTCGTCCATAGGTATATGAGTAAGGTTTTGATATGCTTCCATCCGCTGCGATTTCCTCATTTCGTATTTTGAAGATAATTGATTTTTTTTCATTCAGTTAAACTATAAGTGATAAACAAGTTCTTTTTGGGATAGCTGTTAGATTCTTATGTTTATTTCAACACTCTTTATACTAATAGTTCTGCGGAGAAAAGTGCTGTCATTTTAATTTCTATTGAATATAATTGGTCGAATAGGAATATAATGTCAGTCGTGGCTAACATCGCTATCTCAAACAAAAAATCTTCTTGAGGAATCACTGAATTATAAATTAATCACATTTATTCATTCGTAAATTTGATGAAAATCACAGGATGTGACATGATTTTTCGAAATGTTTACAGCATAAGCAAATTCTGTTTATTAGTGAATAATGAGAGCACAAAAAAGGTTGTTGGTAAAGAGTGCATGAAACTGAGTAAACGAAATACGACTGTATCATTTTATAAATTTAATGAATTTAAGGGTATAATGCTCGTTTACGATATAACCAATGAGAAGTCATTCGACAATATTAAGAATTGGATTCGCAATATTGAAGAGCATGCGTCTTCAGATGTTGATCGGATGATTATCGGTAACAAATGCGATATCGAAGAGAGGCGACAAGTCTCACGAGAACGGGGTGAACAGGTAATCTTGTTTGTTTATATGTTAATTCTGATTGATTCAATGACCCATCAATGCAGTCTGTCATGGAGTTCTGTTGTAAATTATTCAACATTGCAATTTCGTATCCTATAGCTTTGTGTGGTGTGTTTATTCCGTTCTCATTGTCTATTTTCAGTTAGCAATAGAATATGGAACAAAATTTTTGGAGACATCAGCAAAAGCGAACATAAACGTTGAAGAGGCATTTTTCACATTAGCAAGAGATATAAAGTTGAAAACCGAACGTGCCACTCATCAAAGTACCACACAAAATAGTGGTCGTATAAGCATGGAACAACCGCAAAAGAAGAGTGCTTCCATATTTTCGGGTTGGAGATGCTCTTTATTATAGAGCGTGTTTATAAATTATAATATGATGTGTTTCGTCTTAATTATAATATGAACGCATCATTTGATGTTATTCTAAAATGTGCTGTTATTATTCTCACTGCGTAGCCGTTACCAAAGAATGTTCCATTCAAAACTTCATCGAAAAATGTTCACTTCCAATTTGAGTTGCTCGAATTATGCATCAGTTCTGGTTGCTTTTTCTTNGAGTCGTTCTAGGCCTTTTGACTGATCACTTAGCGAATCATCAATTGGAATTACTAGCCGGAAAAGAAAGTCTGAACTTTCGTAACAATTCAGTTTTCGAGTCGAATCAATTAGAATGAACGTTCAGTTGATATTGTAACTTGAAATAGATTCATTCTATTGAGTTGTTTCCCATCTTGTTCCCTATTACTGTTTATATTTTCTATAATTACTATTTAGTAATGTCCTTATTATCGTTAGTATAATTACATTTGCCCCGCTAATCGACGATTTATATGCAAAGAATGAGCTGTATTATTCGTTACTGATGTTATTAAAGTAATGTTCAGTGTTATTTGTAATTGATTATTTGACTTGGTTTGATTTCTCCGTTATCAGTTCATCGTAATGTTCAGTTATCCGAGTGCATTTCAGTGAGTGACATATGAGCAAGTTGTTCAACACTTGTTTCTATTGTTTTTTATCCTAATATGTTCGTATTTAATTTTGAGTATATTCAATATTAATTGTGATCAGTCACTGGTTCATTTTCTGCAGTTGTATTTTCCTTATGTAATCATTTAATATGGAATTTTAGTGCACCAAAATTCCTAATTTCTAAACATATATTGAAGACAGTTTTGTGGTGATGAAATGTGTCATTTCGAAGCGATGAATTAGTTTGAGAGAGTGGATGATAATGTTTGTTGAATGAGAAGGAACGGGTGTTGTAATTGTTGTTCTTCGTTTTAATCAATTATTTGTGTTTTCGTTTGGTGTTATTTTAAACGCTGTAAATTTATTTTTACAATTGAAATTTGCTGTTATGAAAGGTACTTGGTTATTACCAAATATTTACTGTTATTGTTATAATTATTATTGTTATTATTAACTGTTATTTTTTGATTTTGTCATATAGCCCAACAACGTATGAATGAGCAGATTCATAACTCTGGGAAGTTATAGCGAGATTAAGTGCATGAATGTATAATATTTTTAAGCGAAATGATCAGAACGAAGTTTTTTTCATTTCAAATTCGATTAGTTGTATTGTCGAGAAGTAGACTGTTAATTATGAGACTATATCAGCCACTCATTATCCTATAGAGCAGTGGTTCTCATGCCCGGGAGCTTCATTACTCCTGCCAGGCCGTCATATATCCCTTCCCTGTTAGTTGCAAGAACTTACTGCTTCCATGAAGGCAATCTTGGAAAACAACAGCATGCCTAAGTAATTTCCAATCTAGAATCCCATAACACGTCCACCACAGCGTAATTCACAAATTACATACA